TCAATAAAAGCATTGAAATCCCTCATCTCGGCATTCTCCCCTGTTCTTCCTCTTTTTTCCTCAAGGAACCTTACAGCGTTAAAGTCCCCCGCCAGCAACCATCTCCCTCCCTTTTCTAAAATTACTTTTTGTAGCTCTTCCCACACCTCCACCTTCTTCCTTCTGTCATTCAGAGCATACACATTGACAAAATAACAATTTAGTTTCTTCACACCCCATTCCCCTAACACACCCAAAAAGCCATCACCCGCAAATTCTTCCTTTTTTGTAAACTTAAACTTATCCCAAACACACACCATACCTCTCGAAGCTCCTGTTGACCCCTTCATGACCCAATCGAAGCCTTCTGAATACCACAACATTCTACAAAGACTACCATCTGCTTCCTCTAATTTAGTTTCCTGCAAAAATAGGAAATCTGGCCGTTCTACATTTACCAGCTTCCCCACCTCTTTCTTCTTCAATAGACCCTCCAAACCCCTTACATTAAAAAATAAAATCTTCATTAAAAAGAAAAAACACCCACAACCCCAAACATCTCGTACCTCCCTACTTCATTCCCACCTCTCGCCCCTTCTCCTCATCCCTTTCTTCCAACACTAACAACCTAGACTCAACCTCCTCTTCATTATCTTGAATTTCAATACCCAGCTCTTTCCCCACTCTAATTATCTTCCTCACCTCATGCAAAAGAAAATCTTTTCGAATTACCTGGTTCTTGTTCGCAATACAGCCATCTGAGATGGAGACACTGCCAACTCGCTCTGTCGTCTCCGATTCAGCCTTTCGAGCCACCCCTTGTCGTCCTTGCCGATTCTTCGTTCTGGCGGTCACCACATACCCTTGTTTCGTGCAGATTTCTTCTAGCTTGTTCGGGTAGCATTCCTCTAATTTCTTGTGCCTTTTACCCGTTAATTCCCTTTTACCCACCTCACGAACAGCAGCTAGCTGACTTCCAATCTCAATGTTTGACTTAATCCCTATACTGCACCCACCCGTGCCATTTGATTTAGATATAGGCCCATCGCACTCCTCTAGCCCTTGCCTCTCCACCACCGGCCTAATACCCATATGTGACCTGTTACCATCACCGACCCGAGCCCTGAGCATGCCTTTCAAATTGCAACGGTCTTCTCCCTCGTTTTCGCTCAATTCTTTTAGA